GGAGGAAAAACGGACTAAATATCGAGATCTTCTCTTCGAACTCCGCCGGCTCTATCCAGACCATTCTGTGGAATTGGTCATCCTGATTATCGGCTCCCTAGGAGGCACACGACACACGCTGCTCTCGGAGATCCAGAAAATCCCAGCGTGCCGTGATAAGGCACACATCCTGGCTGGTGGAATGCAGAAGGCCGTCATACTAGGATCATTGCGTCTACTCAGGGCACACGGTACTTGGTCCCAGTGATTACTCACCTCACAGGTTGTGAGGAGTAGTCACTGGATTTTATCCAGCACGACTCTGCGTGACGTCGGAGGCCGCAGGGTCGTGACTGGAATTATATGAATTTAAAATAATAATAATAATAATAATAAGACGGAATAGACGAGACCCCAGTGCTGCCCTATGCTCCGGGGGATATTGAGTCCGTTGTGGAGAATGAGAGGTGCCGAATTTATTGGAACTTCTCATTCCCCACCCTCAGGCAAATACAAGCTAACAAGCCTGATGTAGTCCTCCTCGACCATCAAACCAAAGCGATGTTCGTGATCGAGTTTTCGGCGCCAGCCGAACCGAACATCGTTTTGAAGGAGGAGGAGAAACGGACTAAATATCGAGATCTTCTCTTCGAACTCCGCCGGCTCTATCCAGACCATTCTGTGGAATTGGTCATCCTGATTATCGGCTCCCTAGGAGGCACACGACACACGCTACTCTCGGAGATCCAGAAAATCCCAGCGTGCCGTGATAAGGCACACATCCTGGCTGGTGGTATGCAGAAGGCCGTCATACTTGGATCATTGCGTCTACTCAGGGCACACGGTACTTGGTCCCAGTGATTACTCACCTCACAGGCTGTGAGGAGTAGTCACTGGATTTTATCCAGCACGACTCTGCGTGACGTCGGAGGCCGCAGGGTCGTGACTGGAATTACATGAACTTAAATGAATAATAATAATAATAATAATAATCATCGTCATCGTCGTTCACACTTTATATATCTACCCTATCACCTCACATGAACACTTTCGAAGCAGACAAGTTTGCTTTGATCATATGAGACGAATTCCAAGTGGGTATAACGCACACGATTTGCAGAACAAGAAACTTCGACTTCGACTATGTTCACACTATAACTCTGCAGTCTAGCATCTGACATGCATACAGTTGGAGCAGGTACGACGACAGTGACCTATCATCTTACCTTGACACTTTTGAGTAGACAAGTTTGCATTGACCATATAAGACAACTCCAAAGCGGGTATAACTCACACAGCTTGCAGCCCGAATTACTGCGCCAACCGATAACCGCTGAGGAGGTTCGAGAAGCCCTCAAAGGCTCCAAGAACTTTGCTGCTCCTGGTCCCGACGGGATCAATAACTTTTGGTGGAAAAAGTTACCCTCCACCCACCACCATTTAGCCAGCATATTTAATAGCTGGCTAAATGGGGAGCAGCAAATCCCTGAGTGGTTTATCGAGGGGCGAACCGTGCTTCTCCCTAAGACTGGAGATTTGTCCAATCCAAAGAATTACCGACCAATTACCTGTCTGAATGCATGTTACAAGTTGTTCACGCGCATCTTGTACATGCGAGTACTCCTAGTAGTTGACCCGGTTTACCGACGGATTTTTGAGCAGCGTGGGTCAAAGAGAGGTGTCGCTGGCTGCAAGGAGAACCTGTTGATAGATAGATCTATCACACAGGACTCCGTGCAGTACAAGCGGAATCTTTCTGTGGCCTGGATCGATTACCGAAAGGCATTTGACACAACGTCACATGAGTTACTCGTGTACTTGCTCAAGTGTCTCTCGGTACCCGATTCTATAGTGAGATGCATAGAACAACTGATGCTGGTCTGGAAGACCCGCTTTACTATAACATCAGGTTATGCGAGAGTTCAGACAGAGCCAGTCATCATAAAGAGAGGAGTATTTCAAGGGGACTCCCTTAGCCCACTCCTATTCTGCATCTCACTTCTGCCACTATCCGTTGAGCTCCGCAAAACCAGAGGATACAACTGCGGCCCACCCAGTTACCGGAGGCATAAAGTCACTCACTTATTCTATGTGGATGACCTCAAACTTTATGCCTCTGGTGAGAGGGATATGGACCAATCCCTCAGGGTGGTACAGGAGTACACGCAGGCAATTGGAATGGAATTCGGAATGGACAAATGTGCACTGGTTCATCTCAAGAGAGGACGATGCGAGAACTACGACAAGGACGCGCAGCTCGTGGACGGAAGCATCCTACACCACCTGGATGCCGGAGAGACGTACACCTACCTGGGTGTAGAGGAAACTCACATCCAGGAGGCACAACGGGTAAAAGACGCTCTCCGCAGCAAGTATCGGCAGCGGCTCCGACAGATCTGGTCGTCAGAACTGTCGGGGAAGAACAAAGTCGCTGCGACTAACATGCTTGCTGTTCCGATCCTACTTTACTCATTTGGAGTGATAAAGTGGACTCAAGTCGAGCTGCGACAACTTGACGTAAGTACTCGCAAGATGATGCATCTCCATAGGAGTCTGCATCCAAATTCGTCCGTTCCACGGTTATACATACCTAGAGACCAGGGTGGCCGTGGACTCTTGAGCTTGGAGTATCTCCATAACAGAATGGTTCTGGATGGCGCCTGCAAAGTCATCAGGAGTTCGGACCTCCTTCTGCAAATGGTTAAAACCCATGAAGAGGCAGGAGTAGGAGCTTTTCTTTTCAGGGCAGCGCGTCGAGCAGCCGATGAATTGTCTCTGATTTTCGACTCCGAGCGCGAGGCTCAGGACTCAGTTACTGAGCTAGAGCCTGCTCGGAGGAAGGCCCGCATCAAAGCTGCAGAAGTGAGAAAGCTCCTGCAGCTCCACATGGATAAGCCCATGCATTCGGTCTACTTCAAGACCATTGAAGACCGGGGCTTATCCAAAGAACTGACTTTTGCTTTTCTGAAGTCAGGCGGGCTCAAATCGGAAACAGAGGGGTTCATCATGGCATGCCAGGATGGGGTTTTTAACACTCTCGTCTACCGTAGCCGTGTCATGGGTATGGAGGTCCCTGACACAAGTTGCAGGGCCTGCCGCAGGGCGCCCGAGACAATTATGCACCTGCTGTCTTCTTGCACGGTGTATGCAGTCTCGGCCTATATCCATAGACACGATGCGGCATTGCGAGTGCTCTACTACTATTTGAGGCACTCGTACGGAATAGACGAGACCCCAGTGATGCCCTATGCTCCGGGGGATATTGAGTCCGTTGTGGAGAATGAGAGGTGCCGAATTTATTGGAACTTCTCATTCCCCACCCTCAGGCAAATTCAAGCTAACAAGCCTGATGTAGTCCTCCTCGACCATCAAACCAAAGCGATGTTCGTGATCGAGTTTTCGGCGCCAGCCGAACCGAACATCGTTTTGAAGGAGGAGGAAAAACGGACTAAATATCGAGATCTTCTCTTCGAACTCCGCCGGCTCTATCCAGACCATTCTGTGGAATTGGTCATCCTGATTATCGGCTCCCTAGGAGGCACACGACACACGCTGCTCTCGGAGATCCAGAAAATCCCAGCGTGCCGTGATAAGGCACACATCCTGGCTGGTGGAATGCAGAAGGCCGTCATACTGGGATCATTGCGTCTACTCAGGGCACACGGTACTTGGTCCCAGTGATTACTCACCTCACAGGCTGTGAGGAGTAGTCACTGGATTTTATCCAGCACAACTCTGCGTGACGTCGGAGGCCGCAGGGTAGTGACTGGAATTATATGAACTAAAATAATAATAATAATAATAATAATGATATTTATTTTCATTACACAAAAAAAAATATTTTCACTACAACTTTGAATACAATGATGCAAAATGGAGCTGAAAACAATTTGGAAAAGTTCTAGTTCAGCCCCAGAGTAAGAAAACAATTATTATAATCTGAACTGTTCGTTAAGTTGAGAACGGATTAGAAGATAAAGAAGAGAAAGCACTGCTTTGGTGCTCATGAGGAGAGTTATATACAGGGTGTTTCCTAACTACGGTTCCTTACTGCAGGTGGTGACTCGTTAGGTCATTTTAGGAAGAAAAGCTCCTATCAACATATGTCCGGAATTGAAAATAAAAATCGACCTGTCTTAGGATTTTGTTTCAAATTCATATGCGTTGGAGATAATGAATTTATTCCATACATTTCCACCATACTGTATATGTAGCCAAGAGACTTTCTCTGACTTTCTTTCTGAATGTCAATGACTTCATTTATTTTTTTATTTTGCATTAAAGTTGACGTTTGGTTTTGTTACTTGTTCTAACGTTTAAATAAATTTTGTTTTATTAGTAAAAAGTAATCATTTCAAAATATTTACCATGATTTTCATCATAAAAGTTGATTTTTCTTGAAAACGGTCACTTTTGGAGCTCATGATCAAGAGTACCTTTTTGTGTAGAAAACATAGGAAATTCAAATGGACGGAACAAAACATAACTTCTTTCAGTATGGCGTAGAATTTAGGGAAAATAAAACTCACTACCCCTTGAAAATCTTCACCAATTATGACTTTTAACACCCTGTATCTGGAAAATGGTGCATTTAAGAGGGTAAGTTGATAAATACTTCTTCTCATATTTTTGGACGGGCTTCTCATGTTTGGTACCTTTACTACTTCAAGAAAATAAAGAAGAAATCGAACAAAATGTGTATTAAGTTTTTTTTCATAGCTATAACAACAAAGAGATAATGAATGGTTCTAAATAAACGAGAAGACCCTATACTTATTCGTAATTAAAAACTAGAGCAGGAACGTGAAAAGTAAAATTTTGAAACTGATTCACCACCAGAATAACTTCAGCATTATTGATGATGATATACGTTTTTTTGTGCCATCTAGCAGTGAGTGATTCCTGCGAATACTGATTTCTACAGGCGGCCATGTTGAAAGTCACGTGTGCAGGTTTGACTGGTTGAAAATTGGTAGGAACATGAAAAACTTCAATAATAATAATTCCTCCTAATAAAATCTTCACCCATCTTCTTGTGCACAGCTACATTCTTTTTCGTGTTGAGAGAGCAATGTCAATTTCCCAGTAATTTGACAACCGTTTCTGGAAAATATACAAGCAAAAACTATTTCATCAGCCAAATTCTCCAATGGAAAATTTCTCGATTGTTCGAAATTTGTTCTACAAGTAGGACAATCAATCACTCGGGTTCTGCAGTTATTGCACAATACATGTCCATTATCGCAGTTATAGATGTTGCTAATCATGTACTCCATGCATATAGGACACTGTAACTGCATTTTAAGCTTCTCCAAACATTCATCGACGATGTTTCCTACTGTTGCAGTATCGCTCGATGTTTCTCTGTTGTTATCCTCATATTCCTTTGTCGGGATGATTGATAGGCTGTATCTGATCTCGGAATCGGGAATATCACCAAAATGAATTTTCACGGCAGTGAGATCAACTTTCTTTGCACAAATGCGAACAGGAACATCGTCTTCCACTCTTGTATGAGGATAGTCATTCAAATCACATTCAGTTAACATACATTTGAGACAATGATCAACTTCATCATATTTGCTAATTGGCTGATTTTCATATGCGAAAAAGGTGTCATCACATGTGCTGGACAATTTCAAAGTGTATGTGAAACATTCATTGATTTTTTTCAAAGAAGCAACATATATTTCAGCCGAATTTTCGCTATTTTTGATTGCTGTAATGAACTGATAATTCTTGAACATAATAAAACTTATCATGTTACTAGTGGTGGGTGTCAAATATTTGCGAGTTTCATAAAAAATGTTATCTTCATGATAACGTTTCAAGTGCTCCTCCAAATTCAGCACCCGTACATTTTCTTCACAATTCTGATAATAGATTGGACATTTCACTGTTCTTTTATCACAAGCGTCTTCATGACTTTCCACATCTTTCCACGGAATAATCTCATTGCAATCATTGTATATGCAAGGAAATGATATGAACTTCGCCATTCTCTCAAAAACAACACTTCTGCAAATCGACAGTTCGTCATTTCTATTCTTGCATCTTCCGCACTTCAATCGAGTACCATCTTGAGAGAGTACCATTATCGGTGGGATTGACAAAACAATCTCGCAGAGGCAGCACTTCATTGATAATAACTCATTTTGGAGCTCCAATAATTCTGCCATGTTTGTCTGAAAGAAAAAAAAATGCTACCACCCATCAACTAAAGGAACCCGACATATTTTTATAGGTGAAATGATTCTCGATAAAAATCTTCAGAATATTCGGTGTTTTTGGGGTCGGAGAAGAATTAGAAAACAAAATAATAAAAGTATGTTGACATCTAAAAAAAGATTCCCGCTTTTATTGATAGACAAACTAAAAAGAAGAATAAATAAAATTATGAAAGTTATTTAAATTTTTTTTTCTAGAAATAATGTTTATGGCAAAACAACGTCTGCCGGGTCAGCTAGTATTTGAATATATTATGGAGATATACCGGGTGTCAACGGATCTATTAGACAAGTCACAACTCTCAGACCATCAAGTGTATAAAAATGAGATTTGGTGTAGGTAATGGTATGTGAAGAGGAGAGTTTTCACATATTTTCCACTTTTCGGTCACTTCCGGTTTCTCCGGAAATGGGCCCGGTTCTGAATTTTTAAATGGAACACCCTGTATATTGTAACATTTTTGGATTTCTGAGAAAATTCTAGATCAGAATGTGATATTTTCGAAAGTTTTTATGGCTACTTAATTTTTTCGGAGTCACTTTTGAAATTACATCTAGGTGGCTGTTGAAGATTATTGTTAATCAATGTGAGATTTGACCCTGTATAAGGGACTTTTGGTTGTTGTCAATTTTGACTTGAAATAAAATGAGAAACGTCTATACAGTCCAAGACTATTTTATGTTATAATTCGACTAGGCAATAACATTGTGGTCCATCGAACCGTCCGACAAGTCCTGTGGAAGCTGTAGATTAGTCCTCATATGAAATCTACGGAAATGACGAGTAAACCCTCTGCCGAAGAATCTGTGACATCAGATACGAGGAGAAAAACTGCAGGTATCAATAGACACCTCGACCAAGACTATCTGTGGTCTCTGAAATTTGGACAAGGTCCTTCAAATATAAGAAGTCAAGCACTTGAAAACAATCTGGAAAGATCCATTGATAACACACCAGGAATAGTTCAGTCATCATCAATCGGAGATATTAGACGAGTTGATAGTGTACGTCAATTCCAATCAACTCAAGACATTCTACAATATCGAAAGTTGAGAGTCAGGCTGCTAATTCTAGACATTCGGTGAAATCAAAGGCATCTACTGTTGATTCGCAAAGAAACAGGTTAGCATTAGAGGTTGAGATAGCTAGACAAAAAATTGAAATGGAAATTATCAAACAGCAAAATCAGCTGAAGATTTTAGAAATGGAAGCTCAGCTTCGTGAGTCAGAACTCCTGGACAAACAAGAGTCGCGTTCAGAAAGAAGACAATCAAGTAAACATTCTTCAAATTCAGATAGGAATGATAGTATCACCAAAAGAAGTTTATACCCTGTAGTGACAACTAAGGAGCCATCCGACGACAAACTTTCATCACATCATTCTGCGAAATCATTCGTTGCAGATTGGGTGAATAATATACCAGAGGATCCGGAAGAACTGACTAGCAATCCTTCTGAATTTCTCAAACTTGATAGACAGGACAACGTGATAAAGCAGACACGACAAGAAGGATTCAATGACTATAAATGTGGATACCATGGTGACGTTAAAATTAATCGCTGTTCACCATCTGACAACAATTCGGGCATCAAGATTTTATGTGAATCATTAGGAAATGTCCTGAAAAACATGGTTCCCAATAAATGCAAAAAAATGTATGCAAGACACACAAGTGATAAAGACTTTCCTATCTTTGACGGAAAACCAGATGAATGGCTTACATTTATATACCAGTTCAAGAAGATTTCTACATATTGTGATTTTTCACCTGAGGAATGCATGATGAAACTCAACAAGTGCCTCAGGGGAAAAGCGAAATTTGCCGTACAAGGTATGATGATGTCTCCTCAAAATTTGAACGTGGTTCTGAAAACCTTAGAAATGAGATTTGGTAGACCAGACCAAATAATCGATGTACTCCTATCTCGAGTGAAAACACTGCCATCAATTTGTGAATATGACATGGAGACCATCATACAATTTTCGAATTACGTCACATGCCTAGTATCTACAATAAAGTCTCTGAACTATGATGCGCACTTACAAAACCCACAATTGATCAAAGAACTATATCAAAAACTACCAAATAATCTGAGATTACGTTGGGGGGAGAGTGTTAAAGCAAAACAAGGTATTGTCGACTTAGAAGATTTTTCAAACTGTTTGGCAGGAATAGCTGAAGCTGCATGTTATGTCAGTACACCGAAGACATCAAAAATCAGTCACAATTATTCTCAACAGAAATATGAGAGATTTCACTCGACCAACCGGATTCTAGAACCGGTGTATTCCTTCTGTTCAGTCCGAGAGCACAGCATTGACAAATGTGACCTATTCAAAGCCCTAGATGTGGATACTCGTTGGACTGAAATAACAAACAAGAAACTCTGCTTTTCATGTCTCAGAAGGAACCATCAAACGAAGAAATGTAAATCACGAAAGGTTTGTGGAATAAATAATTGTAGATTATATCATCACCAACTTATGCATAAAGCAAACGTAGAGACCAGACTAAGATCCAGACCTACCGAGAATGTAGCTACAACTTCCTTGAGTAACACATTGAGTGAGAACGTGTTGACCCTTGGTTTAGGGAATAATAATGTGTTATTGAGAATGGTCAATGTTATACTATATGGTTCAGGAGAAATCTGCATCCAAACGGTAGCCCTGTTAGATGAAGCATCAACTGTTACCTTGTTGGATTCTTCTATTGCTGATCAACTGTACCTGAATGGAACCCAAGAACCACTTTGTATACAGTGGACTAATCATATTACGTATGAACATGAAGAATCGCTCTGTATGAACCTAGACATCTCAGGTGACTTTGAAAATGCCAAAAAGTTCACAATGAAAAATGTCAGAACTGTGAAGGATTTGAATTTGCCCTTTCAAAGTATAGATTCCAGAGAGTGGATGAAGTATCCATATCTGAAAGGTATTCCACTTGCTGATGTCAAGAAACGTCCTATGTTGTTAATTGGACAGGACAATGTACGCATTAGTGTTCCTAGGAAAGTTATACAAGGTCCTGAAGAACTACCGATAGCCACTAAAACAAACCTAGGATGGATTCTACATGGAAATACCAAAAATTCAGACCCAGTCAGTAATAATTACATGTTCCATATCTGCACCGAAGAAGACGACTATCTGCACCAGTTAGTAAAAACATCTTTCAGTCTAGAATCATTTGGCACATCAGAAATAAAAACAAGCAAAGAAGAAGCTCGAGCTCTAGAAATAATGAAAACGACAGCTAGACGTATGGGTGATAGATTTGAGATAGGTCTTCTATGGAAATCTGATGATATCGAGTTACCAGAAAGCAAATCGGTAGCTCTCCGAAGACTATTGTGTGTAGAAAAACAAATATACAAGCTTACGTTGAGAAAGGTTACGCAAGGAAACTGTCAATGGAAGAAGCCAGCAGCGAACCTTCTAGAAGCTGGTATCTTCCACATTTTGGCGTCATACATCCGAACAAACCTAATAAATTACGTCTAGTATTTGACGCTGCTGCGAAGTCCCAAGGAACAAGTCTCAACGATAATTTATTACCTGGCCCAGATCTACTTCAGTCAATAGTTAGTATTTTGATCAAATTCCGACAGAGGAAAATTGCTTTTAGTGCAGATGTACGTGAAATGTTCCACCAAGTTAAGATACGTAAAGAAGACCAATCATCTCAAAGATTTTTATGGCGTGACGGAGAATATGACCAACAGTGTGCAGTTTACGAAATGGAGTCTATGACTTTTGGAGCTACGTGTTCTCCTTCTTGTGCTCAATACATTAAAAATTTGAACGCACACGAGAAAGCATCATCAAAACGAATCGTGGATGCAATTGTTAAGAAACATTACGTCGATGATTATCTTGATTGCACGGAAACCATCGAAGAGGCAAAAGAAATAATAAAAGAAGTGAGAACTGTACAGAAGTCAGGAGGATTCGAATTGGTGAAATGGACATCGAATTCGAAAGAAATAATGAGTTACTTGTGTTCCGAAGAAGACATTTCTAAAGACCTGAACCTTCAGACGAATAACTTGCAACAAATTTTGGGACTATCATGGGATACGTCGAAAGACATATTCATTTTTCGATTGAAAAACGAAATTTTCAATGATCTACAAGTGCCAACGAAACGACAAGTATTAAAAATAGTTATGTCGATATTCGATCCTCTAGGCCTCATTGTCAACTTTGCAATTAGAGGACGAATAGTGATTCAAGATATATGGCGATCCTGTATAGGATGGGATAACATGGTGGATGAAGATGTTTACAAAACATGGAAATGTTGGATGACTGATTTACAAAAATTGAATACACTCAGTGTTCCACGAAATTATTCAACAGAAATTCATCATGCAGAGTCTATTCAGCTACATATTTTCTGTGATAGCAGTAAAAAAGCCTTCGCAGCCGTCGGTTATTTGAGAGTACACACTAATGACAAGATTGATCTGACCCTAGTAATGGCCAAAGCAAGAGTTGCCCCAACCAAGCCAATATCGATGCCACGCCTCGAATTACAAGCTGCAGTTCTAGGAAGTCGTTTGGGAAAAACACTTGCTCAAGAGTTAGAGATAAAAATCTACCGAATGTTTTACTGGACAGACTCAATGATAGTTTTACATTGGATAAAAAATGATGGGAAAAAACTCGGACAATTCGAAGCTCATAGGGTGGGAGAAATACAAGAAACCACGAATACTAATGAGTGGCGTTGGGTACCATCAAAATGCAATGCAGCTGACTTAGCTACCAGGACATACAGCGATGAAGGTTTCAAGGAAATTACCTTGGAGAAATGGTTTTCTGGCCCAGAATTTCTTAGCGCTGATGAATCTCTTTGGCCAATGCAGAAGGATGTTCATGAATGCAAGTCAACAATCGAGAAGACCTTTGTGAGCCACGTAACGGAGAACGTTACTGAAG